TTTACAACGGCTTGAATTACGTGGACAGAAAAGCGTAGGTTAGTAATAGTGTTCTTTTAGAATTGAGATATGACAAATGACGAGAGAAGAACGCTGACTAAAAGTGGATTTTCGTTACTTTCAGTGACTGAAAAGAGCCCCAAGCGGAGATTTAATAAATAATAATACCCTATCATTTTCATGATCCTTTGCGCTTTCTGTTTCTATTTCTTTCTTTCCTCTAATTTCATTTATTCGTTGGAATTCTCAAGTATTTGTTTACCTAATTTTTTTTACAACAATCTAATTCATTGTTGTCTTCCATTCAATCACACATTTTACTGCGCGTTTGTCTTTCAGTTCACAAACTTTTTCTCTTCTGTTTTGTTTTAAGAATGGATTTAAAAAAGCTTAAAATGTAACATTTATCCTTTTGGCTTTCTTTTCCTTATTATTTATCTAAACTTTTTCCACAGTCTCTGTTCGCCTGTTTTCTCACGGCTTTTATCTTGAATTGTTCATGTAAAAAAAAAACCGAGGTTCTCACCACTGGCCCAATAGAAACTTTGAATTAAAACTAAGATTAAATTGTTTTTTTTAAAAACAAAAGCGGCAAAAAGGTTATGAGAACGCTTAAAATAAAACGATAAAGAACCTCAAAGACATTTTAAAAAGAAAAAAAGTAGTGAAAATATTTACAAATGAATAAATTTGAATTCTTTTTTATTAGAAAGGAATTAGAAAATTTTGCTGAAAAGACTGAAACAGAAATAAAAACGCGTGCCATGTCAATGAGTGGGAACTTTGAAGAAGGCGGATAGGTCAAGTCCTTATAAGACTTGAACACTTTTCATGTTTTCATGTCAATTTTTCCTTAAATGAAAGTCATTGGGAGATCATCAATAAAATACTTTGCTGCAGAAATTGAAAACATTGAATATCTGATCGAAGTTTAAAAATCTAGCAAAAAAGAAAAAAAGAAAACAAACAAAAAAGAACAATGCCACTAGAGCTGTGATATAATGAGTAGGATTTCTTAAACACATGAAAATTTTTATTAATTCGAATAATTGCATACATAGCAATAATAAATTCAGCCATAAGAAAAGTGAAGGTTTTATTTTAGCGTTGACTGCATGTGAACACGATCTACATAAACGTGATTTCTGTATTTCATGTTCTTGCCCACTTGCTTTATTGCTACTCTACAGCTTCCTGATTAACTTTAGTCGTCTTCTGCGCAAATATTTTGCGTAACAGAAAAATTAAGAATTAGGTGTTGAATTTTCAACTTATGTTCTAAAATTCGTTTAGCTAATTTCGGCACTCAGTCTGCAAGTTATGCATTAAAAATCAAGAAAATGTTTTGTCAGAGGTCAGAAATGAAGTCAAAGGTTACTGACAAAATAATTCTAATATGTGCGTTATTTGTATGTGTGTCTATGTATATGTGTATGCTTAGAAAATGTATGTGCCCTAAAACCTGTAGTTATTTTTTTTTCATATGAAAATTGGCTTTAAAAATAGATAAACTGATTGATGTATGAAGAATGGAAATTTCTCCTGAAGAGTTACTCAAAATGGAAATCGATGATATTTTGATGGCATTACGCTATAAAGCTACATTTCAAATTTAATATTTTTCATTTTAATATTTTTAACTCCATGTTTGCAAGAGGAGATTGATCGCCAAATGAATTTGCATTTAAGAGAATAAATTAGAACAAAAGCATATTTTAAAAATATATTTCGTAAAATAATATCTCGACATTATTCTAACAACAGAATAATCTTTTTTCCTTCTTTCAGCTTTTCTGGGTCGTGGATTATGTATGCTTGTCTTCCTCGGCATATACAAAATCTTTCTTACTGAAATAGTAAATAGAAAGCCGAATTCTTTCTTGGAACTTTTATGATTTTAGTACACAGTTGGACACATATTAACACATTAAAAAATAAATAGGTAACAGAAATCAGAACTATGTAAGTAGGGTCTTTGTTTCTTTACGCGTTTTCTTTTCTTTTCTTTTTTGTTCCCCTTTCTCTGTTATCTTCTGAGAGTGGCTTTGTTTTGGTACCGTGTAATTCTCTATTTTAAAAATCCAATGAAGACTAAATTCGAGATTCATTAATTGGAAAGATACACACATTATAGGTTGTTACAGACGTATCGGCAAATACAAGATATAAATGCGTCGCCATGAAACTCAGTTGCGCAATCAATGTAAGGCATTATGTATATTTCCTTACATATATATATATATATATATATAAAGGGAGAGAGAGAGAGAGATTTAAGCAAATATGTTCTGTAAAATGCAGCATCTATGATTCTTGTACTAAGAATAACAAAATATTTTTCGCTTATGTGCAATGGGGAGCTGAATTTCAGATAGCCATTCCTCATATATATATATGAGTTACTATTTAAGATTTGCTATATTTATGGATGACTAAAGCCCCCTATTTGTCATAGAACATTTGTAGTTATACAAAGTGTGGGCATAGAAATCAAGAATGTAAGTTTCAGATATGGTCGTTTGATTTGTGAAACTGATAGTCACAATGTTATATTGATTTCTGTGTTCCCACACACACACACACACACACACACACACACACACACACAACACACATATATATATATATATATATATATATATATATATATATATATATCAAGATGATTGCTTACGTTTTTTTTCTAAATTTCTTTGAGGCTAGTTTTATTTCTTCATCAGAAACATGATTTGGTTGTTTAATTCATTTTCTCGACACCCCTTCCTCTTTGACCCCCACACACACGGAGGCACGGAAGAATAATGGATAGCGGCTAGGATTGAGGAATCGGAGAGCCGAGTTCGAATTCCATTCGTGCATACCTTGGGAAAGGTATGAAGATATGAATCCTCTTCTTCTCCCAATAAATAGCTGACAGACTGGGTTCTTTAGCCTTGGGTTGCAACTGGTCTAGGAGAAAGTAACTCTGAATTCAAAACTATGTAGCCCTGAGTACAGTTAAAGGAAAGTGTCGAAAAATGAATGAATGAATGACAAACACATATATATCTATTTTTTATTATTTCAAACGTTACTTTAGTGGATACCCCTATTTGAGTAGACGCTCCATTTATGTTAAACAGAATTTATTTGGTCTATTGGCCAACGTACCCGAGAAAATTTAATAAGGAGGATGTAACCTCTTGCAGAATTCGAACCCGCATCCCTCTTTGCAGGAGGGACCACCATCTGATCCGGCGTGCTTTGATCTCTCGTCTACGAAGAGCTTCACAATAAAGCAAGGTTCTATTTCACCATTAATGCGCATTCATTCGTTCAGATGTTTCTCGAAACGTAAACAAAGTATTTGCTAAAGACATATATATATATATATATATATATATATATATATATATATATAACTTCAAACGTTATTATACTCAACATTGCGTATTTGAAATAGACACCCTATTTTTAATTATTGGCTAGTATATATTTATGGGCCTGCGCATTCGAGAAATCTTAGAGAAGAAAAGTAACTACTGAAGGAATCGAACCTGCATCCTCTTTCTAGGCCAAAACACCATTTGATCTGGCGTGCTTTACCTCACGAAGATTGTCACAGTAAGCAAAGCTCTATTTTCCCTTTTTAAGAAAATCACAGCCAGATTATTTTTCCTCGAAAGTCCATAACGGTTCAGTTTTTCATCCAAAACGTAAACAAAGCAATTTATCAAGAATTAATGTATTTTTTAACCCGACATTTTTATTACCTCAGACACTAATATTATGTTTTTTTTTTAAATTTCTTTGAAGCTAGTTTTATTTTCTTCATTAGAAACATGATTTGGTTGTTTTTTCATTAAGGCATATATATATATATATATATATATATATATATATATATATATATATATATATATATATATATATATTTCAAACGTTATTATAGTCAACATTGTTGCGTATTTGAAATAGAGCAAACAAAATAATTTTACTGACGAATATGCAAAACTATGGGACCGGGGAGATTTTTTTAAAGTGCGGGAGTTTCATATAGTAACCTGGAGATTTAAGACAAAAGCTGAAGTGGATTTTGTCAGGACCAGAGAAATAGGCCAATAATTAAATGGAAACTTATAGACTTGTCGAAAGGAAAACTGAATAAGTGATATTTTCTAAGGACAGGCAGGAGAGGGTTATTGACTATAAAATATAAATATGTCTTATCGCCGTACTTTTTTGACAATGCAATCAGTTTCGAAATTTGCAGAGGTGATTCTGCAACAGATAGAAATTCAGATGAATAGAACTTTGCCCGACTTTGTTAAATTCTGCAAAAATCTTGAATCTCAGATAAATCTTAAAACCATTTGACCTTTAGCACTAGAAAATAAAATGGCGCTGTCAATCAACAGGTAACTGTTAGTCAGAGTTTTGATATGACGACTAATCAAAATATAAGTTACACTCCTAAAAATAGATGACAATTGATTTCGGAAGTGATTTTTCTCTTTCAAGTTTAAATTGGGTTATTTGTGTTATGGCTGTTGCTTTTGAGTGACATTTTGTTGATGGCATTGTTTCCTGTTGTTTTGATGATTTGTTTATCTTTAAAAATAATGTTTTGGCACACAGAAGTATAGACATGGGATTCACTCGTTGCAAATGTGCAAAACCATAGATATAAGCCTTTAGTCGCTTAAAGCTATGTGCCAAGTTCATGGTTGAGGGAAATCAGTTAAAATTAACAGTATGAATTAAAATGAGATTTTCCTTTTCTCTTCTTTTTTAAGAAGAGAAACGGAATAAAACGTGAATTCAAGTTTACGGATGTAGAGTCACAATAATTATGTAATCTAAAATATTTTATATAAAACCCACATGAGCACCAGGAATTATATATATATATATATATATATATATATATATATATATATATATATATATATATATATATATATATATAAAGAGAAGGAGGGAGAAAAGAAATATACAGTGATAAAGAGATATGAACATACTTATAGAGGGAGAGGGAATGGGGTAGGTAGAAAAAGAAGATACAACATGATAAAGAAAGTTATGAAGATAAATAGATTGATAGACGTAAACAGACAGACAGATAGATAGATAGATAGATAGATAGATAGATAGATAGATAGATAGATAGATAGATAGATAGATAGATAAAAAGAAAGAAAGAAAGATAGACGGAGAGATAGAAATAAATTGAGAAATAGAAACAAATTGAGAACTATAGATAGAAACAAATTGAGAAAGATAGATATATAGAAAGATAGAAACAAATTGAGATAGAGATAGCTAGATAGAACAAATTGATCAAGATAGATAAATAGATGGAAATTGAGAAAGATAGATAGAAACAAACTGAGAAAGATATTCGATAATCATATGTAAATAGGAGGGGGTGTTGATAAATGAGATAGATACGAGACAGCTGAGTACGTACATGCAAAACTACATGAAGATAAAACAAATGTTGTTTGCGTTATTCTTTTCTGTTTGTTAAAACAAATAACTAAGGGAAAACATTGAGGAGGGTAAGCAAAAAGATTTTTCGAAAAATATGGAATGCATATATATATATGATAGATACATAAAGGTACACGCATATGAATGCGCATATGTACACATTTTGAGCAAACGGGTAAACAATATTGTGGCATTTTAAAGTAAAAAACAGAAAGAGAATTTTAAAAGTCGATAGATGAGAAAGAGTAAATAAAATATAGGATAGAAAGAGATTATAATTTTTTTAAAGGTAGGAAGACAGGTAAACAATAAAAATGCGTCAGCCTTATAGACACAAATATCGAGACAGATACTGAAGAAATTTGATTTAAACGCAAAGAATAAGAGAGGGGGAGAGAGGGCAGAGAGATTTAGGTTAAATTATATTTTTAATTTAAACATGTTTTGTTAAATTTAGCCAATAAGCTTTGTTCATCTAATTTTTTTATTGTATTTTTCCAATTTTCAAATAAGATCTTGTATATCTGAATCAAAATTATGAATAAACTGTCCAGTGTCCATGCTTTGTTCTGTTTTCGTTCAAGTACTTTTGACTACATCAATCATTACCAAGAATTGGGTGTAGTCGGAAGAATTTAAGAAAACTCTCGGTCTGTCGATCACTCGGCATTTTTCGCGTGCGTATTAGATTTTGAGAATCGCATTTGCAAAGAGAAAAAAATGTAAAAAAAGTAGATAGTTATGAGAAATGTGTATTTGCCTGCAATGGTGACGGGCATGAGCTACCTAACGAAATCGTGTAAATGGTTGGCACAAAAGGAATTAGGAAAGGTAGGGAAAAATTGCATTTTACTAAGAACTACAAAGGACAGGAAATAGTGGAGAGCCATGATCGCCTACGTCTTGATGGGACACAGCACATAGAGCAAGAAAATGTATGCGTTTGTTATTTTCATTACGTTGGCATTAAAGGATGCATATTACCTTTTATTTTGTTGCAGACAAACGAATGGCTGATCTTAAGAAGTTATTACGCAGAGCATGACTTGCATATAAAGAGTACGTAGCTTTGATATATTTGTGTGTGTGTGCGTATGTGTGTGTGGCAGTAAGCGAGGTGTGCCAAGAAATAAGACATCAATTATTTAAATTCTTTTTTTAAATTGTGAAATTAAAATGAACAAACCGAAAAACATGAGTTCTGTGAAGAGAGAGAGAGAGAGAGACAGACAGACAGACAGACAGACAGACAGACAGAGAGAAAAAGAGAGAGAGAGAAAGGGGGGGGGAGAAATTCTAATAGATACAAAAGTTTCTGTAGAGACACTAAATAGAAAAATGCAAATATTTTTAGATAGAAATAAGAATTCAAAGAAAGATAAGACTTAATAAAAAATAATTCGAAGAGTCCTCTTAAATGTATTTAAAAAAAATATCTTCAAAACAATTTCTAACTAAGTCTGTGAGTGCACATTTGCACACGAAAAGAAACCCATTATTAATCTTCTACTCACGTTTGGGTGTAACTTCTCCCAAAATGTCCTAAGCATATTTTTCAAGCTTGATGTCAGCTATAAATGGTGTCCAGAGTAGGTGCCTACGAGGCTTAATGTACGTCTTCAAACGTCTTAGGTTTGTTTTGTGTGTGAGTGTGTCAAGTGAAAGCGTTAGATGAGATATACACGATCGTCTGTGTACTTGCTCGTCTGTGTTGACGGTAAAGCAACGATTGGCGCGGGGGGGCAGAGGTTAGTTAGTGTAGGAAGAAATGTTTTGAGGTGAGAGCTGTGTACATTAGTGAGTATGTCAATAAGTGTTAATATATGCATTACTAAGTGCTTCAGGCTACTGCTGCTAATGAGTCTGTATGTGCATTTGTGTTTCAGGTGACAGATTTATTCAGAGAAGTACCACCATGAAAATGGTTAAAGTTTTTTTTTTTTATTTAGCACAAAACAAGTCTCATCACACACACACACACACACACACACACACACACGTACAACCCCATACATATATATATATATATATATATATATATATATATATATATATATATATATATATATATATTCTGTTCATACGTTATTTTTAATAGATGCAATTTATTTAAGTAAATGCTCCGTTTTTTTTTTAATAAACAGTATTAATTACATTTACCGTCCTCCCTTGCGTCTTAGTGGATTTATTGACTTGCTTGATTAAATATATATATGATTAAATTATATATTTTCAAAATTTACGTTTCCAAACAATATATATATATATATATATATACACGTTTCAAAACTATTTATATACTTTTTCAAAACTATATATACATTTTCAAAACTATATATAAATTATATATACTTTTTAAAAACTTTATATTCTTTTTCAAAACTATACATTTTTCAAATTTATATACATATAAACTTTACAAAACTATATATATATATATTAAACTATAAATATACTTTTTCAAAGCTATATATATATATATATGTGTGTGTGTGTGTGTGTGTGTGTGTATTAATAAATATACATAATATCGCTCGTTAAAAGCACGACTCTGAGTTTTATGCGGAAACGCAGTCTTCGGGTACAGAATATTCACTGACCGTTAAGCGTTATGAAATTTGCGTTCTCTCGGCGCTGATTTAAAATTGTGTGTTATAATGCGTTCATTTAACTTTAAAAGGTCTAAAATGAATTATATCTATCGTCTTAACATAAAATTAATTTAAAATCGTGAGAGTGAAGTTTATTCCATAAGTCATTACTTTAGTAATATATTTTAATAAACAACAATCATTTCTATTACCATTAACGATGTCTTTTTATGCAAAAAAGGGAGTAATCACTCTTGATACATAGCGTGTTTACGTAATTTTTTAAAAGATGTACTGGGAGAACATATGGACTTAACAGCCAATCGCCTACAATTCCAGTCCACACATTAATGGTAAGCTGATGCTAGTGTCTATGGGGATTTCGATTGGCTCACAAATGTTGGTTGTATAAATTTGTTATTCCATCTCTTCCAAATGTTGCCTCATCAGCAAACAAAAGTTAAGTGACAAACAACGGATCGGCAGTTTGTGCAATAAACCATCAGCAAAAGTTCTCCCGTGGTGAGTGATCAGACGGAGAAAGACCACGCACACGTTGTAAACGATACGTATACAGGAGCTGCTCTTGAAGTACCCTTCTTGTGATACTATGACATGTACGGCATGCTAGGGCCACTTGACATGTGCTAAAACCTGTATCGTCTCCAAGAGCCTGTAAAATGTGTTCTTCGTGGTCAGGTGTATGAGCGGACCTCGGTCTACCTCGATCCATAATTTGTGGTGCCACGGATCCTGTCTGAGCAACGCAACAATAAACAGTAGCAACGGTTGGGTGACTCGGCTGCCTCCGGCCTCGAAACGCAATCTGTTACAGCCGTGCAGCCACGCGTCCATTACTCTTCGCGCGGCCGTATGCAAAAATCATATCCGTCTGCTCACGATATGAATATCCTGCCATTTTAAATGGAACACTTGTCAGTTAACTCACTACTATACACGTTAAACGTTGAAGACAGCCTAATCACGAGTGTATGCGAATGAAAATTGTAACCTAATCTACATGGCAATACATCACCATCTGCCGTAAACTCTCTTTAAATAACTTAAAAAAGTATTTGTGGACATATGTTTATATGGACTTGTGCCCTTGTTTTGTTGTGAGGAAACCGCTCCCAAAGTTTGTAAAAGTATTTTTTGATATACCTATATATATATATATATATATATATATATATATATATATATATATATATATATATATCAAATATATATATATATATATATATATATATATATATATATGAATAAATAGGAGTTTTAAGGTGTGTTGTATTTAGGGATAAAGTGCTCAATATCAGAGATAGAGCGTATGTAAATATAAAAGAAAATATAAGTGAACATTGAAGCCAACACTCCAGAGGCGACAGGCTGTTCATGCTAGACGCAATCGTCTGCCACCTGTCACCTCTGAGTGTTGACTTCAATGTTCACTATATATATATATATATATATATATATATATATATATATATACAAGTATAGGATTGGTGTATACGGAATAAATTCCAATAACAAAAAATACTATTCTTAAAATATATATGTTAAAATGAAAAGAAAGAACAGTCAAATTTATAATACACAGTTCTTTTACATTTATTTTTAAAAACAGAGCTCGATACACAGTGGAGCATAATAATTATTATTAAAAAAAAAAAATGTATTTATCGCGACACAGAAATTACCATGTTTCGAAACCAAAATCTTAATTTTAAATTAAACTTAAAATTTAAAGTTCAGTTCCATTTTCAAGCGATGCAGAATAACCTTCGGAAAAAGTAAATCATTTTTTTTAAGTTTATTTTGGTGCAACAGTAAAATTGCCAAAATCGTGTAATAGCCTGATTATCCGTCCCACAAAATATTTATTTAATATCTAAAAAAAAAAAAAAACACTAAACGAATTGAGTTTCTTTTTCCAGCTTTTCAGATGACATTTCACTATCATGATACCATTTGTCGAAAGAATCACTGAAAAACCCTTTGAGTTATTCAGTTAGAAAGAGGACCGGCTAAAATCAGTTTGTGTCAGCATCACTGTCTTCCTGACTGAGCAATGGTGAGAGGAAAACATTCAGACCTTCACTAATGGTACCAACATTCATATTCTGGCTTCCATCTTCAAATTCATTCAAGAACTATCCAGAGAACAGTGAATAAGTTTTAAAAAGAGGGAACAGTAGAGAAGATGACTGAATCAGGAAGTCATAACAGGAAGAGGGATCATCATTTCAACTTAAAGCTACAGATAAATTATTCATATATATATATATATATATATATATATATATCCAACTCAATCCATAAGATGTTTGGCACGTGACAGAGGAGTTTCCAAACAGCAGTAAAAAAGACTTGAAAATGGAATTGTACATGAAACCTGCGAGACATCTTGTTACTCTTGGACAGAAATTAAGAAGGTTAGAGAGGGCGATGATCATCCCTAAATAAGTTGGAAAATGATCCTGAAATAATATATATATATATATATATATATATATAATTATTTTTTATAAAAAATTATAACATAAGTATGTTATAAGATCACTACAAAAATAGCCATTTTGTTTCAACACACTCTGTGTCTTATCAAGTGACCTTTGTTGAGCACTCTTTTAAGAATAGTAATTGTTGGTTATTGGAATTCATTCCGTATATACCAATTATATACTTTGATATATATATATATATATATATATATATATATATATATATATATATATATATTGAACTTTATTTCAATCTTTCGTGAGCTTCCGATCCTTAGGTATGATAGATTTATGATCGATTTCATGACGATTCTTCTGTTAAGCTTGGAGAGTAATTATCCATTCTTATTGCTCAAAGTAGAGTTTAATAGTGTTATAAAAACCTCAGAAAATAAAGATATCTATAATCAATTGATTTTTCGCTGAAAATGTCAACCGTTCATAGATCGTTAAAGTGTATCAAAATTCTCTTTCAAATAGACAATATTTATACCTTGAATTTTTAATCTCTAGCTCATGACATCTTATTTAACATAGACTATTTTGATTATTTGAATCCATTATCAACATATCTTGTCTAGCTTCTTTACATTTCTATATCATCCTTATATTTATCTTTCTTTCTTTATCTTTTGGAGAAGAGACTATATCTTGTGTCTTTCTTTTCTGCTCGCCCTTATTTTCTTTCTTCTTTTTTCCTTTTTGAAGAGACTATCTCTAGCCTTTCTTTTCTCTTTTTTCGACTATATCTTGTGTCTTTCTTTCTTTTTTCTTTTAAGAGGAGACTATATCTTATGTCTTTCTCTTTTTCTTCGCGGGAAAAGTGATTGTATGTCTGTAAATATTAAAAATTGTAATAGCGCTTATTTGCTACCGCCTGATGAGATGCGAAGATATGCATTGAAACATGAATGCATTTATGTAGCGGTTTTACATATGTTTGAATGCAATATCCTATAATTAAGAATTATCGCTCTATTGAGCCATATTTTTAAAGTAATGTTGTGAACGTTTGAAATTATATTTTATTCATTCTTATTTCATTTGTATATATATATATATATATATATATATATATATATATATATATATATATATCAGCTTGAAAGCCGCCTTATCAGACTGCATTTAAACTAGCTCCTTGATTGGGACTTCATCACGATTGATAGGGAGGAGTAGATGCAATAGGCAATATTATACTACAGAACTGAAAACTGGTCGCTGCATTTAAATATTGCGTTATTATTTATGCTTATATTTAAAAATTCAACGATAATACTTCTTCCGACACTTAATTTAACGACAATTTGATATACGTATTTGCTTCCTATGCAATAATTCCTAAACAATAATTTTTATTTCATGGGTGGCATTCGCTGGATTTCGCAATTCGTCGCAATCAATCGCAGTAATGAAAACTTGGTAATACAAAATATCAGGATTGTGGCTCTGGATACGGACTGGAATGTTTTTAATTTGTTCACGGAGTCAGCCTGATTCCAAAATTGTATGCTCTGTTGACCCACGACTTCTAGAAGTAAGGTTGAAAACACGGACAATTTTATTTTGAAACACTTTAATTTGAGAACAGTAATTTTTTTCATTTGAACATCAGCTATTGAAAGTTAGAGAGTTGTGCCTGCTTAATTGTTTTTATGAGTAGAAGCCAAGATGGCGGAATCCAAAAACAATCGCAGTAATGAAAACTTGGGAATCCAAAATATCAAGATT